ATAAGACTTTATGAGACTTTATGAGACTTCGGAGACTTCAAGAGACTTTATGAGAATTCATAAGAATTCATAAGACTTCAAAGAGACTTCAGAAGACTTCGAAAGACTTTCAAGATTTCATGGGACTTCACGACTGAAGTCTCTGCTGTTTCCCCCTTGCCTTTTGGAGTCTTTTGAAGTTTTTCGAAATGTTACGAAAATTTTATGTCTCTGCTAATGAAGTCTTTTGAAGGCTGGAAGTCTTGAAGTCTTGAGATCTGCTGTTCTCCCTTGGTAATTACCTCATCCAAAGGTAGCGCGATGAGAGGAGTATTTTTGGATTTCTCAATATTATTGAGAATTAAAAATCAATTTAAAATCTGACTTGCCTAATTTTCACCTGTACAGATGTATAAAGGTAAGTATAGGGGTTGCTGTGATGCTTGTCTGAGACGTATGAATCCTATCTACTTAGCTACTTATGTCTTAGCATCTATGGATATTGTAGGATTTTAAAGAATTTAAATTCAACTTACCCGTACCTGGCTTAGAATTGAAATGAACTAATCTATGGTGGAACAGCTATATATATAGTGTGGGGCGAAATTAAAAAAATCTTGATAAAAAATTAGATTAAAATCGATTTCTAATCGAATAATCGATTTTAATCTGATTTTTGAGAATTAATAATCGATTTAAAATCTCACATGCCTGATTCTCACCTGTACAGGTTTATAAATGTTAGTGTAGGTGTGACTTGATGCTTGTGTGAAACGTATGAGCCCTATCTACTCTCAGGTCGTATATTCTAGAGGTACCCATAGGTCCTCAAGTGCTATTACATAGAGGTAACTATAGGTCCTCAAGGGTTACTATATAGAGATACCCACAGGTCCTCAAGTGCTATGCTATAGGGATACTCATAGATCTTCAGAGACTACTATATCGAGATACCCATAGGTCCTCAAGTGCTACACTGTGTGGGCACCCACAGGTGCTGAGAAGCTATGCTATACACTCTTAAAAAAAACGTTTTCTCAGAAACCGAAACCCCTTCGGAAACCCTTTCTGAAACCCATGAACATATCCGAGAAGGTTTCCAGACTCAGGTTAAGTTTCTGAAAATACCTTCAGAGTTTGCGAGTATCCGGAAACCTATGGGTTTTCGAAAGATAAGTGCGGAAACCCTCAACCGTATTCTCAGAAACCCTGATGCTATTTTCGAAAACCGAAAGTTTTCCTCGGAAACCGCTTTTGATTTAAAAACCTTCTCGAAAACCTTTGCGTTTCCGATATCTTTTTCATCGAAAACCTTTTTGGGTTCCCGAGCATCGGAAACGGTTGAAGTATTTCCGAAATTTGAGAATGGATTTCGAATTTTCAGAAAACCCTTGCGTTTCCGAAAAAAAGCTCCGGAAACCTATCCAGTATTCTCAAACATAGAAATAGTATTCGGATATCATCTTTTGTATTCTTATGTTATGATCGCTATTTTAAAAGTCTAGGAATTGCACGACATGCATGGTATAAACCTTATTCAATTTATGTGGAATTGTTGTGTAACAGCATTAGAACTATGAGAATTCAAAAGAAAATGCATTGTTCCTGAGAAAATTTCGACTTGTTTTTACATCTTTGAATACCTAAATACTTGAATGGATTACGACAAATTTTACTGTGGGGATCGAAGAGCTGCATTAAATCGCCAGAATAATCAAAGAATGCCGCCTGTCTCCTTCTTCGTTCATTCATGTTTCATCCAAGTACAGGCATTATCATCCTTATCAACAGATTGCAACAGAATATAGTGCAAGTTTCAACCGTTTGAGGATCCTTTCCACCGATTTATACAGAAAATCGATAGGAGAGAAATGATAGAAAACACGAAGAAATCTTCCTTTGAGAGAGAATGTAACACAAATACTAGATGTCTCGGAGTGTTTGCAACATAATTTATTCTCCATATACCTCCACAAATGTACATGATAAAATCTTAAATTTTTTCAAATTATGCGTCGTGATATTCTGTATAATAGCCAAAATAAAAGATCCTCTTGGTTTGTGCTAATAGATTTGGAGTAAGCCAAAATAAAAGATGTATCAGATGTGGTAGTTTCTCACTTTCATACCGATTTAAACACTTTAAAGAAAACACATTTACTATCTAAATCAAATCATATGTACAAAAACTCATTTCTGAATACCATTATCTCAATAAAATGAGCATTTTCAGTTCGAAAATAACCGGAAAGAATGAAAGGTCTGCGAAATGTAATTGTTGTTTAGCTAAAGGAAAAAACAAATTCTGAACAGTGAGAAACTATACATTCCCATACACCTTTCCTTTTAGCTCTCTTCAAACTTATTAGCACAAGTCACAAGAATTTCTGCGTTCACCTATTAGAGAGAATACCATGACCTATCGTTTCAAAAATAAGTTGACGTTTTCATGAATCGTCTGTTTGAAGACATAAACAAAATAAAATATCTTGGAAGCTTTCTGAGAAAAACAGTATATATGTATTTCTTCACACCGCAAGATACAGTTTTTCCAACTGAACCAGTTAATAATCCGAAAAAAAAGCAAACACGAGAACTACAGTTCACCGGTAACAAAACTAAAGACACCAACATTCTACCTTCGACACCAATACGGAAACCAGAAGCCAGACTGTATTAAAGACTTTGACTTCAATGCACAAAAAGCTTTCACCACTATAGGACTCCCCTTGACTTGATGACTCTGAGTTCGACAGAATATAAGACCTTATGACATTACTAACTTCATAGCACTGGGTTTGAGAGACATGAAGACTTGAAATCTTTAACTGACTTCACGACGATAGCTTTGAGAGATGTCAAGACTCTAACAAACAAGACTGACTTTACCACTCTTACTCAAAAAAGCATACAGGCACGATGACTAAGACTGACTATGTGATTATGACTTTCAGACACAGAAAGAAAACAGGACTAGGACTAACTTTTTCGCTCAGTCCTTCGCACGGAGACATCAAGACTATAGCAATAAGACTGACAGAACGACGCCTGTTTTACGAGACATGAAGACTCCAGAACTCAGACTAAATAAATAACATTCTATTTAGGAGATGTCCAACTTCCACCAATTTATGGGACTTCATGACCGTGAATTTGAACAACGAGAACACTAGAGAGATCTCATTAAGTTTATCTCTCTGTCTTTCAAAAGATTCAGCACTTTCACTGACATCATGCCTAACTCCCAGACAGATTTCAAAATATTAGGACTACAGCGAATAATATGACTCTGGAAATAACATTCATCTACACTACGACACTATCACGAGTTCCATGATACTCACTTTAACAGACATGAACACTCAAGAACTTTGACGAAATTCATGAGTTTACATTACGAAGCTATTCCACTCTATTTTTATTACGGCCACATCTTCACAAATATCAAACTCAAATCAACATACAGGAGCCACATTACGAGGTTACAATCACTCGACACATATAGATTACGGACTCACACTAACACGATGCCATAAGGGGTTACAATAACGGGATACAATAACGCATTAGATATAGAATAAGCAGCCAGATAAAGGGATATATGTATTCCACAGAATCAGGGGACAGATATACATTAAGCACTTAGATTACGCCCTACAATGAGGCAATAGAATAAGGGCTAAGAGTAAGCGGAAAGATATACATTAAGAGCATAGATCAGGGATTAGAATAAGCGGTTAGATTAAGAGGTTAGATTGACAGAATAGAATCAGCGGTTAGATTTGGGGATAGAATAAGGGTTAGATTTGGGGATAGAATAA